GACTTGTGATTTTAATATATAAAAATAATCAATTTTTAAATGTCACAGGATGTCGATCAAAAAAATTGGCCCGTATGTATATTCGAATTTTTAATTGAATTTAATTGGATAGAATTAAGAGTGATTATAATTGGTATATATATTTAAAAAGGAAAAAAATAAGAATATCGTTATTTATGATGATCTTATGCTGTGATCCATTTATTACATATTTTATTTTTTACATAAAAAAAAGCAATTGAAAAAAATTACTGGAATTAAATAGTCACCGCAGATCTATAGTAATAGTAATAGTAATAGTAATAGTAGTATATAGTAGTAGTAGATGATAGTAAAATTCTAATTTTACATAGTAAAAAAAAAAATTTTTATAATCGAATTTCTTACATCCTTGCTTGAGAGGAATTTCTACAAAAAAAAATGAAACAAAAATGTGGGGATGGCCGTCCTATTTATATTTTTTTGAATTAATAAAATAGACTATTGTCTTGACCTTAGTGATGTTGTTGTGTGAGTAAAACGCACGAAGCTCACTGTCATGTTTTCGTTTAAAAATATCTGTATTTGTGTTACATTCCGTATTAAAATATTTCATATTATTTATCATTTATTTGGAAGGAATTAATGGCAATAATCCCAAATGGGATAATTCACCCAGACTGGGATATTAATTAATTAAACATGTATATAAGGAACAAGAATTCACTGTACTTTAAAAGTGACTTTGTAATAAGTTAACCTAATAGTGTGTTTTCGTGTAATTGATAGTGTACCATTTTTGATTAATAAAATCTATTTGAATCTATTAAAGCAAATAAACAAAGATAAATTTATTATTTATCAAAAAAAGAAATAGAGAAACTTTAAAGTATATAAACATGATTGATTTTGAGATTGACATCAAAAAAATTTGCAACATTAAAAATCATTAAACTTTATACATTTAATAATATAAAAACAATGCTACTTGTATGATTGATTCAATAAAGGAACAAAATTAATTATTTTGCAATAAAAGCTATTTGTTTGTTTGTTTATTGTTGTTTTTGATTTTGGTATCAATGCATGGTTAGTTTCTATTCATGATACAGTCAGAACTCGTTAAACCAAAGTCAATATTTTCAAAAAAAAACTTCAATCTAAAAACCTTAATAAAATCAGCTTATTGAGGTAATTTGATAGGTACACTCACCTGCCAAAAGTATCCGGATACTTTTGGCAGGTGAGTGTAGATAATAAAACAACATCGTTTTATCATGTATATTTGGTTTATCAAAGCACCATCTTAATGAGTTCTAACTGTACATTTATTCATTTTTATTTGTTTTTATTTGTTTTTATTTGTTTTATTTGTTTTTATTTGTTTTATTTGTTTTTATTCATTTTATTTGTTTTTATTTGTTTTTATTTGTTTTTATTTGTTTTATTCACTTTTATTCATTTTTGTTCGTTTTGTTCGTTTTGTTCATTTTGTTTGTTTTTGTTCATTTTTGTTCATTTTGTTCATTTTGTTCGTTTTTGTTCATTTTGTTCAAATTATTTTTTTACTCAAATTGTTTGTTTTATTTGAGTAAGCCTTATTTGAATAAAAACCTAACTACTGCTCAAGGTTATGATATAATTTTAGCACAAAGAGCTTTAGAAATAATTTAATTACAATATAAAAGAGTTAAAAAAAGGATTCATTTTAAAAGAATATCTGATAAATATCAGCACTTTCAATATTTACTAGTAGGCTTTTAGACAATATGATAAAAATACTATTAACTTATCAGTATGTTAATACCTTGATTATTTTTTTAAGAATAATCAGATTCTGATATTTGCTAATACCCCATTACCCAATTTGGCATCATTCAAGTAAAAAGAGAACCAATAGATTATGTGTAAGCAAAGAAAGATGAGACCCTAAATTAGAAATCATAACAGCTTGATTGCTTGATTGACACAGTTGTGCAGTCTTGCAATTTTTTTATTGTGTATTTTAAATATAATTAATCATACATCTTTAATAAAACAAACATGACTTAGCTATTTAATCATTTCCTTGTATGTGAATGCCTCCACCCATCAAATATTCATGATGGTCATGATTATTATGCAATACATTTGATATCATCATTGACATAACAAACAATTACATCACCCAAGTAGTAACAATACCAAGGCCATGCATAAACAAAGCTTTTAATAATGCATGTCTACCCAGATCTCTGGGATTCACAATAATAAATTATTTTTCCTGATTATCAATTATGGTCTCTTATGAATAATAAATCTGATGTTGATTGCATGTGTCAGATTTAATAAAAATTTCCTGCCACAAACATGCAGTCAGGTGCTTTCACACGCTTCAGCACTATGGAATTTTCTCCACAGTTGAAGCACCCCACATGTTGGAAGGCTTTGGACAAAACATCCCCTTATCTTTTCCTCAGACCAGGCTGGACGTTACATATATGGGCATTGATAACTGATGAGAGTTGACATTTGTGTGATGATTGCTTTGTGTTATACCCCTCTAGAATAAAGTTGGCACCTGCAACTGGTTGAAAATTCTGCAACTCAGAAGGTTGTAACCTGGGCCATTGTTTTGGATTTTCCCTGAATTCAGAGTTTTGAGTCCTGGGTTGCTGTAATTTTTATGAAAAGAAAAGTATTAATATTTAACAATTAATTATTTAAATGTTTATTTTGTTGAAAAAAATATACATTGATAGTGTACATTTTCTGTGCTTAACATCCATGTGACCCTAAGTCTGGACAATAGATCCCTTTCTATGAATTTGGCTGGTATATCCCAAAGGCGTCTCCTGCCTTGTCAGTGGCATGCCTACTCACCAACAACCCTGCCCCATTTATTTAAATAACAAGTTCAGTTGGTCAAATAAAAACTAAAGAGAAGCAGAAAATTTATGAAAATGATTAATTTATATGGAACATACCAAACAAAATCCGAACCATTTTGTAACTTTTTTCTTGTTGGCCATATTGCTGACAAGGATATATATAATCATGCGATAATTTTGATCTACAGGACAGAGGACTGATTGGGCAAAAACCCAATCTAGTCCTCTATCCAAAATCATAAATTGGTTAGTTAATATCAGAGAAACAGAGCATTTATGAAAATGATTATACAAAACAAACACTATTTTACAACTTCCCTCTTAACATCAGAGTCCAAATGCAATTTCAGGGCCACAAACCCTGCTCTGAATTGCGACCCCCTGTGCTTGAAACGAGTTGTAGGTTCTTGTTGCTTTGATGGATCTGGATATTTACATGGCACTACAATTCATCAGCAGAGTTGCGACTTGGTCACAGTACCATCCTTGTCCTAGAGGCAGGGTCGTTGCAGGTAACTTTTCATCCAGCATGGCAGCAGCCTTCTCTGGTCTGGGAAGATTAGTGAAAGTATCATTGACGATTGATGCAGTCTCAGTAAACTCCAGGGCCATGCCCCCGCCCCCTGGAATTTGTTGCATCATTGTATACATCGGAGGGAGCAGGTCAGATTAGCCTTATGTACACGAGGAAGATGTGAATGACTGTAAAGTGTTCAAGGTAGCGTGTGTGCTTCAATGCCTGCCAATTTCCGATAATCAAATGTTGCATATTTGAAATGTTTCTTTTTCAACAGTGTGCTGCCTTGACATCTTCTTTGTAATTATAATATATTTATAATAATACTAATAATATTGATTACAAAAAGTAAAATATTATCAATGAAAATCTTGTAATTACCCAAGAATGATCTGCTCCGCGTTTTGATTTCCAATTAAAATATTAAAATATTTATATAAAATAAAAATACACCACATACATATCAATACAAGTAAAAAATAGTACCTCTAGTTAATTATTAACATGTTTTCTTTAGGAGACTAAAGACTAGTGCCGTAAATTATGATGATGGTAGTAATAGTATTTACGGCATATAAAAAGTGGTTGCAATTACCTTTGCGACCACTTTTGCAACCATACTTTTTCCTTTTTTGGATTACGGCACTAGTCTTTATAGGAGACCAAAACCAAACCAAACAACAACACTCACATTTTGTCACCTTGGACTCTGTCAAAAAATAAATTGATTTTCCAAAAAAAAAAACCAATAGGATAAATAATTAATGTGTACGCATCGATCGTATTCACAAACTTCTTTTTAATTCTTTTCTTAAAATATGCCACCAAAAAGGAATTTGCATCAAAGAACCAAACAAACCTTGACCAAAGATACATATGAGTAAGTGTTTTAAGGATGGCGGTGGTGGTTATCGCCCGCCACTCATCATTACTCTAGTTAAAAAAGAATAATGGTGGTGGTGATCACTCTAGTTCTATTCAACAATTAAAATTTGATTAATACTTTATTTTTTATTTTTTTTAGTTTATTACCATTAAATGAAACAAAGGAAAGTGATAAATAGATCATTCCTGTTGGCAAGTAATATTTATCAATTTGTTTTTGATGGCTCTATAGGAGGGAAACCAAAATGTTTTAGACGAGGTACAACAATTAAAAGCACAACTAAATATAAAAGAGAAGGAGTTCAAAATGCTGAAGGATAAACATAAGAGTATTATCAATTTATTAATTATTAAATTAGCATGTTTAATGCATTTTTAATCTAATGCCATAAATTTTTTAGAGTTTACAATAAAGATATCATATGGAAAATATAGAAAGAAATTCATGTGGACCAACAATACTAATAATGGATCATTAGTTAATTTTAAAAAAATTATTGTTAGTAAACTATTGGGTTTGGTGATATTGCACCAGATGAAGTGAAGCTACATTTTATTAATGAAAACATTAATATTGAAGAGCTTGGGATAGATAGTGAAGAAGCTTTTCAAAAATATTTGAAATCATGCATCATATCAAATTGCTTAAATATTAAGATTCAAGTATCAACACAACAAAGACCATTCACTGAATGGAACCTTAAATCAGTAACCAAATTGTGGAACTTACCTCAATATTTTAATGAATTTCCGCTCTTTATTTTTCCACAACATGAGTTTGGCAATGATGATGGGTTTTTGGATTATATAATCAGCTGAAACTGGCTAAATTAGTAATTGCTGGAAACAATGAAGCTACGAAAGATAAGTTTGTGCTACCATTTTTAGTAATTGCTGCATCAACTTTTAGGGGTAGAATAAAAATATATCCACAATATGATGTGAGTGGTACGTATGGCTGTGGGCCCTTAGATTTTTGTATACACTTAGATGAAGATATCATTTGTGTTGTAGAAGTTAAAAAAAGTGACATTGATCAGGGTGTGGCTCAATGCATGATGCAATTACATGCATTTTTTGAAGTAAGTACTAAAACTTATCCTACATCAATTTTGTCACTGCATGGATTTAACATTTTAATTTTACAGACAAATAGAAAAAGAAGACAACCTGACTTATTTACCACCAAATTATATGGTATCATCACAGATAGTTGTATGTGGTATTTTTTTGAGCACGAGCTCAAAAACAATGTACCAAGTTTTAAAATACATTCTAAAAATAGTATGGTAATGGATTGGAATTAAGGTTTCTGGTCCAAACTGTTTTCTCAAAGCCCAAACTAGTTTGGGTAATTTGGGCTTCTCAACATTTTCTATAAGCATGAACATTAAAAAACTATATGAATCAACTTGTTTTAACTTAATCAACTTTAAAATAATTTCGCCCAATTTCGGCTAATAACAAAAAGTAGTTTGGGCTTATAAAAAAATAATTTTTGCCCAAAGTATTTGGGCAATTTCGGCTACTAATAGAAGCAATTTCGACCAGAAACCTTAATTAGAATGAAAAGGAATTTAAGAAAGGAGCAGATAAAATTTTAAGACAGATTTTGGGGCTATTGAATAATGCACATGATACAAAAGACAATCATACAACAAAACACTACAACAACAATGCTTTAGGGAACACTCTGATACTTGTTAGAAAAAATTAATGTTCTTGAATGAATCAAAAGAAGTTATTTTAATTATTCTTTTGTGCCAGGGTTTTTAATTAGATACACATTCAGATTTTAATATTCTGCTTTGTGATTTTATGTTAAAAATAAAAATATTTATATTATCTTATTGGAGAATTAATTTATTAAATGTTCACTTTGTCTGGTTTTGTTGCAGCATGCCCCATATTAATAAACCAAAATATTGTTATCGCAATAATTATCATGATTGTTATGATGGTTATATTTTTGGTTTAAAACACATTTTTCCGAGTGAAATAAAACTTGACGTTAAATTGACATGAACTGCACCTTTTCTTTCTTAATTACACTCATTTTGTATATGTTAAATATCAATATCAATTATTATGTTTTTAATTTCTAGTTAAGAAAATTAGCATGGAAAGAGGAGGGAGCAAATAAACAAAAAAAGATATCTCTTGGTTGTTTACTAATGATGAATCATATTAAGATTGGTAAGAAAGGAATGCATAGTTACGTTAAACCCGTTTTCATTGTTACAATAATAATAATAATAATAATAATTTGTTTATACAGATCGTCAGTACAAAAATGGCGACTTCCTAACATGAAAACCTCCATGTAGTAGTAGTAGTGTTATTTTATTATCAATAAAATGGTAACCTTCATCAGCATGAAAACACGGAATTCATAGATAAGAGCATTTTTATAAAAAAAACCATAGTGATAACAACAACACAAAGAATTGATCAATGTAAATACGAGAATCTTGGCTTTCTCCTTACATAATAATATTAACAAAATTCGCAATCACGTGATTTTAGAGTAGGATTTCAATGGGTTGTTGACCCGGTATGTGAACATGAAAAACATGGGCTAATCATTATTATAAATGCGGAATAAATGGACTTTTTTAAAATAAAAGTGTTTGTTTAAAATAGCTGATTCATTTTTAATCTTGAACTTTGGCATTAAACTGCACCATTAAAGTTTTTCTAATTAATGCACTGAAAGGTCTTCTTTACGTAAATCAATGGAGATTCAAAAGTGATGTTGCTTTTTCATTCCAAAGCTGAGATTATTTTTCAACATTGCTTTAAAAGACTTGATAATGCCTGTGAAGTGTAAAATATTCTGATCTTTCGTATGGTCATTACTTTATGGATATCAGTTAGCTAATAAGCTTTAGAGAGGTTCACAAAAGACTGTTTTATGAACATTTAATACTAGCTATATTATGTTATGTACAGTATAAAGCTTCGAAGGAGTCAAGAAATGATCGACTCAAGTTTGATGTTACATAAATTTTTTCTTAAATGACGAATGCCATTACCTAAAAAACAATTTAAGAGCCCCATTTCCTTCAACTTGGCTCGAATTTGAAAATTCAAGTTTTAACTCGAGCCTGTTCAACTTAGGGTTTAAGAATCGATATCACGAATAGAAACTCTAGCTCAACTCAATAATAATAAAGATTTTTGTGAAATTTTATACAGTTAAACCTTTTTTCAACGAATTTTTCTTATGTGTTCCATAAATTTGTTAAAATGAGGTTTAACAGATGCATATATTCAGAACCTAAAAAATATTTTTTATTAGAAGCACAAATATTGTCAAAACATGGAATCTTGAATTGTTCTCATTTTGAAGTTTTTAAAATTATTGTTATAATTTATTATAATTATTCAATTATATAAAATATTTAATTGAGCCAGTATAAATTCGGTTCAACTCAACTCGCTTGAAGCTTCAACTATGTGGATTGGGTCATTCATTCATTTACCAATTCAACATAAAAAAACAAAATAAAAGAATTATTATTATTTTATATTTCCGTGTTTATAACTTATGAAAGTATTATTATCATGGGAATTGTTAATCGCACCCACGTGACTAAGTGTAGTAATGTGAACAATGAATGGCTTAGCCAAATAAATCGCTTAGAAAATGGCTTGATCAAATAAATCGCTTAGCAAAATGGCTTGATCAAATAAAATCGCTTAAAATGTGATGATTTTATTGGTTCATCTTTAACAATTTTCTATTTTATATATATATATGTTAGGGGAGCATGTGATAGAATAATGAATTTCTTATTATTATGATTATTATGATGCAAAAAATAGAAACGTGATAATAATCGAATTTCGACCACTGACAAAATCTATTTAAAGGAATTATCAGGACTTGAAATTAAGGTTGTGAGTACTCCTTGTTTTATCATATTTCTTGATGTAAACATAAAAACGCAATAATATCAATAATTTATTATTTAAAGCATAAATATACAAAAAAAAATCAGCCCTGACAAAAAATCGAACTACTCATTTCAATTACTTTTGTACTTTATTGAATAAAATACTGCAAGTCTTCTTTTTTTAAGTTCTAAATTTTGTCTCTGAAATTTTAACATGAAATTTTTTAACAATTGCCCTAAACACAAAAACACACAATTATACAAAAAATATCGAGTATTAGAATATAAAACTATATGTATCCATATTTTCTAGAACCTCGTCAGTTAAAAATAAATTATTTTTGGAAGGAAAAATTTAAATATAAAATTTTTTAATCATTACTTTAAAACCTACATAATAATAAAATTAATCAATCACCTTATCAAAAAATCGCGTGAACAGCACGTACCGAAAAACTTTTTTTTAACATTAGCATTTATCAATTGCAATTACAAATACTACAACTAATATAACAAAATAAAAATCACAAGTTCATGATATATCACGTACTATTTTATTGTTTTATTATATATTAACTAATGTAAGTAACGTCAAATTATACAGGACGACTACTATAGTTTCTCTTTGTGGTAAAGCATCAGGTGGATTATCACTTGGAGAACGTACTACTTTATCGAAACTGGTCATATGTTCCCGGTGATATGTCAAAAAAAATAATTCATACCTTGAACTTAACAATTGTTTCTGGTATTCTCAACAGGCACTCATCTGTTGTTGGTAATATGAAATCATCGTAATTCTTAACCACGAACTCATTATTAATGTAATGCAAATTGATTGAGTTAATTAATAACATCAAAGTTATTTGCGAATTTCCAGTTAAAATAAATTTGTTTGTTTTCTCCAAAAATTTTCCATTCAAAAAAAATTTGTACATATTGTTTGTTTATCGATCATTGAATTGATAATAGTAATAATAATAACAAATAAATAGGTGTTTTAATCCCGGTATCATGACCCAAAAATATACTAACACTGTGGCTCTAAAGCAAGGCCGTAAGTTTTTGGTCGTTTTGAACAGTCCGAAAGGTCGGAGCAAGACAGTAAACACCGAGCAAAAAAATCCAAAGCGAAACACGATTTCCTTTAGTCAAGTATCTGCTTCGCTCAACATGACGTTTTGAACAAAAATAGGTAAATTTTTCGGTTGCCAAATAGATACCAATGGGAATTCGCATGACACGACAATGTAAAAATAATCACCACCATTTATGATTTTGATCTCACCCTTCCCCAATAATTCAGTTTACTAAAGTTGAGCAACAAAAATATTTAGAAGATTTATGATTTGTTATTACTATAACTGCATTGAATTTACCATTCGTTTCAAGTTTTAATATTAACTAATTTTTTTACAACAGAATATTTCCTGTGCAACAACAAAAAAAAAATTACATTTAGAAAGGAACCATAACACGGCAACTTTTCTTTTATGTACTAGTACTAGTATGTTAGGGAAATCTCAAAAAAAAACAAAGTCAAATTTATATTTTGTATTTTATATAATGTCACGTGCTAAACTATTATCATCGTTATCACTAGAAAGAAAGGAATTTGTATTTAAAATTTATGGTGAAATGTGTAATAATGCAGTGGTTAAATCTGATATATAGAAAAAATAGAAAAGGAGCTTTCTGAGAATATTGAGGGGAAAAATTTATTTATGATTTCGAATTAAAAAATGCAAGAAATAAATTGGGAAACCAAAAAAATGTAATAAGTGTAAATTGACAAGATCAGGAGCGTCACCTGCACTTTTTTTAATCTTTTCAGTAAACTTTTCACCAATCTTCATTCGTTGCGCAATTAACATGAATCTTTACTTCCATATGCTATTCTAGATCGGTCATGGTTGTTTATCAATTTCATCGCTTATTAGTCTTTTATTTTTGTATAAGAAGTCGTTATAAGACCATTTCGCAGGACGCGTGTGACATAATTGCCATTCATAGCAAGTTGTATTAAAGTGTTAAATTACACAATAAAGTCATAGTTTATAGAAGCATTGTTGAAGTCGAAAGACATTGCTCTAAAAAAAAGAAAATATATATAATCGTTAAAAAAAAAATAGTATAATTTTTGTCGCACAGCTATAATGAAAACAAAAAAGCATGCCAACCAGAGAGGAAAAGGACGAATTTATGAATGAACTCTTTCATTTAGGACTTGCTTCAAAAACAGTAGCTCTGCAGATCCATTATCTTTAATATATTATAGAAACGAAAAGTTGGCGTGTAACTTTTACTTATTATTTTTCCTATTTAAATTCTTGTCTATCTGGAGAATCATTACCTCGTAACTCTGAGAAATAATAAAATAATAATAAAAAAATTAATAAAAATAAAAATATATATAACCGTTCTGGTAGCACAAAATTTTAACCATGCAATTTATTGATTGACCAATTGACCAATCAAAATCGTGAATTTGATAACATGCAAGAAAAAACATTTTTTGGTTTGTAAATTTTGTTTTTATTAATAAATTTGTTTGATTTTTTCATACATCGTTCATGTTTTGTCTTAACCGTATATCTAAATGTTAGCTGTATTTACAATCGTTTTGTCGATATTCATTATATTAAGGTTATTTTGATTATATCGAGAGATATGATCAAGAGAAGAGTTAGAAAGAGAGTTATTATTTAACCAAGTCGAAAACCAACCCTTTAAATCCATTTTCGAGCAGTACGATTTAATTTATTAGACTATTTCAAAGGTTTATCACATGCTTGCTTCCAATTTCTTAAATTCAAACCATTTGTTAACGAAACAATTGTTAGTGAAGTGATTGTTGTTTATTTTTATGTTCCAATAAAATTTCCATTGTTGCATCATCTATTGCTGATTCAACGTTACCCGGATCATCATCAACTGTATTTTGCTATTTTTGATAAATTCATTTTCGCTTAATCTTTTCATCATACTTTCTTTTAATGCGTTGACATTTTTTTTTGATTTCGAATTGAAAATAGTCCAACATTTAGATTGGCACCTTTGTAGACAATGATTGTAATAACCATGTCCCACGTGAGCATATACACTACAATTATCCAAATTAGTATAGTTAGTGTAATCACAATATATGTAATCGCAAAAAATGTTTGTAGATAGAAGTAACAAAGCCTTTGGAAGGTGACGATCGGTCATTTCGTAAACTAAAGAAGGCAATTTGTATGAGTTAATACCATTAGATGAAGTTTTAGTAATCAAAGGATACTGATTTCGTGCTTGATATATCTTCGTAAACACATCTAAAAGCAATACAGCACACTTTCAGGAAAGCATATGCAATTGCTTCGGTGTATATGGATATTTCATAGAATCTATGTAATGTTGTCGAAAAGTATTATCCTTTCGATGCTGAAAAATAAAATGTGCCTCCTTTTCAGTTGTTGTGCAGTGAAAAACTTAGCCATATGTCATCAAATAGGTGATATTATTTTATGCTCATTAGGTATTCGTTATAAAGGATATTGTTCAAATATTGGTAGGACAATATTATTTAACCCTACCAAGATTAGTAATAAAATATATTAATTTGGAATTTTCTCCTATTTTATTTTAATTTAGGAACAAAGGGTAGATTACGATTTTTTATTAAAGTTACAAAGTCTTATAATAGATTGGTGTATAGATGGAGTTATATTGCGTAATGTGTACAACCAAGCACTTGATCATCTAAAAAGCGAACGACCCGACCTTTCAGATAAATTTGTTAGAAGCCTTGGTCATGGAATTGGCACCGAGTTTCATGAATCTGCATATGTATTAAATTCAAATAGCAATAAGGTTTTTAAAAATGGAATGGTATTGAATCTAATTGTTGGATTTCAAAATATAACAAATCCTAAAGCAAAAGATGATCAAACAAAAAACTATTCCATATGGATTATTGATACCGTCAAAATTTCAGATGATACGTGTCATTATATGACAGATGGAAATAGAAACCGTGATGCTACCACTTTTTTCACTGAAGACAAAGAAGATGATGAGAATAAAAAATATACTACCACTTTATTCAAAGACGAAGAGTATAACAGATGCTACCACAGACCAAGAGGATAAAAATGATAAAAATCCAGCTAGTAATCCTCAAATAAGAAATTGTGCAGAATTTAGAAGTGAGGATAAAGGTGAAGATGATATTTTTAATGAGACGAAAAGAGCATCAAGCTGAATTAGCAAGACAGAAACAAACTGATGGCTTGGCTTGCCTTCTCGAGGGAAAAAGAGACAATATGATTGAGGTACATGAACAAATAGTTAAACTCAAGAAAAACTCGACTAAAAAAGAAGCAGAACATATACTAGCAGATGTTTTGTGAGGCCAGAATTGGAGGGGAAAAAAGTACCTGGTGACTTGCAGATTCATAAAAATGGCATTCGTCATTCAAACCAGAAAATAGACATGCTATATAGCAATATTAAACATTTATTTTTCCAACCTTGTGACTACGAGTTGATTGTAATTTTGCACATACATTTAATCAATCCAATTATCTTTGGAAAGGAAAAGGCCAAGTATGTTGATGAAGAAGAGGTTGGTTCAGAGCTAAAGGAGCATAGAAGGCAATTCTTGTTAAATAAAAGTTTTAAAGGTTTTGCCAATAAAATTGCAGGGCCCAACAATGAAAAAGTACATGTGGGTGTTCCTTTTAGAGATATTGGATTCTTCGGTTTTCCATTTAAAACCAATGTATTATTACAACCAACAACTGATTGTCTTGTTAGAACTATAAAATCAACATTGAACAATTCCTTTCATTTTCCCATAGTTCCTTGAAAATCATTTCCAAAAAGTAAAACAATATTGAACACCAGATTGGGGGTGTGACCAATTTATTCACAGATCAGCAAGAATTGTTGAATAAAAATAAAACTCTGCAATTATTTTTTTCTTATTGAAAAAATCTTCATTTAGAAAAAATCGTGTAACATATATATATTTTAATATTTTACAACCAAATCTTGTAAAAAAAAATGTCATTATATGGAGATTTACCACCACCTACTCACACTTCTGAAAAAGAAGAAACAACAGAACAACAATCAACTTTAGAAACCACGCTACAAAATGATAAAACAACAACCAAACCAAGTAAAAAACCTGCTCTTCCAGGTACAAACAGATCTGCAATTGCCGAAAAAATAAAAAAATAAAAAATAAAACAACCCATTTTTTTAAAAAATGCAGATCTGTTTCAAGCATATTTTCTTGATCATTATTCTTCTAATAATAGCATATCAAAACTTGAAGAATAAAGTACTTACCTTGAATAAATAAAATTTCCTGAAATGAAAAAACTTGTGTGTTGATGTCAGCGGGTTGGACTCCTCGATTTGTTCCTATAATTCAACGGAAACCTGTTATTCAAGCTAAACCAAAACTTGTACCTCGAGCTGCTACCGCTGCTACTACCACTACTACTACTGTTGTTTCTTCTTCCTCTCCGCCGCCGCCACTACCACCGCCTTCTTCTTCTTCTTCCTCATCTACTCAAAACAATGCAACTACTTCTACAACATCAGCAACACTTCCAGCAGTAGCAGTAGCATCAACAGCAGCAGCAACAGCTGAACCATTAACAGCAGAAGAAGAAAAAAATTCTCCTGTAGCAAAGCAAGCTACGACGTCAGATGTCTATAATGAATATAAAACTGTTTCAAATATCATGAGAAATCAACGTAATCTTTTTGATAAAGTTAGTATAATTAAATAATTATCAATTATTTTAAATAAATTATTTATTCATCTATTTATTATCTATAGAGGAAATTAGGAAAAGGCACGAAAAAACAATTGCCACCACCGTTATCTTTAGATGATGATTATGATCCTACAAGACCTAATGATTATGAAGAATATAAGGAGATGGAAAAAAAATCTAAAGAAAATGAAACAGTCCATCATCGTCAGGATAATTTTAAAAAAAGACAAAGATCAATAAGTCCTTCTTCCGATCATAGAAGAAGATCATCCCCTTGTAAGTTTTGCTAAAAAAGTTAATCGTTTGATTATCTTGATTAATCAATTAAACAAAGTAAAATTTAATTCAATCTAATAATTAATATTATTTATATTATATTTATTAAGATTCTTATCCACCTCCATCAAAGCCGTTGTATTCATCACCATCACCACCACAATCGTCTTCCTCTAAGAATAGTGATGAACATGTTGCACAATTGCCACCACCACCAGCACCAATAAAATCTGCACCATCACCACCAACAGCGAAACTTGATTTGGATATTTCTGGTGAAGAAGCATTTTTAAGAAGAGCAAAATTAAGTAACTCTGCTGCTGTTGTTAATGAGTCAGCTTCAAAGTATATAAAGCAACTATATTTACTATAGTTATATTTAATTGATAACATCAAGAATATACACATTTATATATACTGAATAATTTTATGATTTAATTTTTCTTTAGATCACCTGAAATAAAGCCTACAAATACATCTGGTTCTGGCGAGCATTTTGCCCATAGATTACTTGCAAAATATGGTTGGCAGGAAGGACAAGGTAAATATTTTTTATTAATAGGTTAGCATGTGTTTCCTTAGTAATAATATCAATAATAACATAATGATATATTTACCTTATTATAGGTCTTGGAAAGAATGAACAAGGAATTAATGTTCCATTGATGGTGAAAAAAACTGATGTTCGATCAGGAATTATAATCAACAATTCATCAAATATTAACAATCCTGGTCAGAATATTTTTATTAACATTTATATATATTTGGGTGGTTTAATTTAATTTAATTAAAGCTTGATCTGATCTAAAACCAATAGTTCAAGTAGGCAATGAACTTATCCAGAAGGCAATCCAAAATATAGAGACACCTTCGAGAGTTATTTTACTTAGAAACATGGTATATATACACACACACACACAATATAAATGTTTAAAAATTTTTTAGTAAAAAAAATTTTTAATTAATAGAAACTAAATTTTTTTTATCTAATATATGATATGTTTCAAGGTTGGTCCTGGTCAAGTTGATGATACATTGCAAGAAGAAACAGCAGATGAATGTAATGAAAAATATGGGACAGTTGAACGTTGTCTTATATTTGAGGTAAATGATATTTATATTACATATTATTTATTATAATATAGTAGAAATTAACAAAAAAATGATGTTTTGATAGGTTCCTAATGGTAAATTACCTGATAATCAGGCCGTAAGAATATTTGTAAAATTTGTTGATATAGAAGCAGCAATTAAAGCCAAAAAAGATTTGAATGGCAGATTTTTTGGTGGTCGATCAGTTTCTGCGAAATATTTTGATGAAGCAAGATTTGATAAATTAGATCTTGCTCCCACTCCAGCAGAATTAGATAATTGGTGATTTTAAACTTGGTTATATTTTTTTTTACATTGCATTTTAAATTTATTGTGTTATTTTACTATTGCTATATACCTTTATATTAATATATATCTAAGAAATAAATTAATAATAGTCTTCTTCATAATAGTCTTCTTCATAATTATGGACATCTTCATTGTCATTGTTATATTCATCTGATTCTGATTCTTCTGAAGAAGACATATCATCAAATCTGATAATAATTAAATAATTATAATATATTAAATCACATATATTTACTTATGTTCATTGAAGATATATATAAAGTAGAACTAGATGAATGGAATCTTACCCTTTCTTGTTAATTTTCTTCTCGATCGTCATCTTATTAAACCTATCTGTTAATTTTTTAAATTTAACTTCCTCTTCGATTTTTTTATGTTGTTGTTGTAATGTTATTGATTCTTCAATTGAAAGCATATTTGTTTTTTTTTCTTTAAAAAATTTTGATGGTGATTTTTTTATTTTATTATTATTGTTATAATTATTATTAGTAATTGTGGTGGTGTTTTTATTATTATCGTTATTTATTGAAAATCTATTAAATTTTGATTCTAATTCATCAAATTCATCAAATTCATCAATTGATTTATTATTACTATTACTATTACTATTACTATTACTATTACTATTACTATTACTATCACTATTATTGTTATTATTATTATTGCTGTTATTATTGTTATTGTTGTTATTTTCAAATTTTTTAATCAATTTCTTCAACTGTTCACTTGTTTCAACGATATTTTGACCTTTATCAGGAAGTCGTGCAACTATATCTCTATATTTTTTTTTCCAATTTGGAGAAAAATAATTATTAATCAAGTGTTCAATTCATCATAAATCAAAAGGTCACTTGTTTTTCTTACAATTGTGACAGTAGTCTATCATTCTTTTTTAATTTTTCATGTAGCTCTTTGAGAGAAAGTTTATTCAAATCTAGTATAATCAAATCAAAAAAAAATTTTTTTAAAAATTAAAATTTTCAAATAGTAGTAATAATAATTATATAAAATTTTGTTTATAATAAAAGTTTTACTTTGTTTCATAATTAATTTATTTATTTATTATTATTACTATTTTCAAAACCAATTTCTAAAATTTCTAAGCTATCAAAGACGAAAAAAAGTTTGGATCATTACACAAAGTTACAAAATCGGATATGGTGCAGGAGCTAGTCCACTGCGCCACTACGCCAAAAATTTTTAGTTCACTGGTTCTCGAGTTCTATACTTTTTAGGAAAGTGACGATTATCACTATATAATAAAAATTTTTTTAGGGAAAAAAAAAGATCAAGACATGTATTCCTTTGTAAATATTTTTTTTTATTGAATAATATAAAAATTATTCAATAATTTTATTTACTTGAAGGGTAGATTGAAAAAATGTATAAAATGGATTTAACCATCTTTCCTATAAAAACGTTAGATGATTATTGAGCTTATACATACATTAATAATTAAACAAATATTATATATTTATTGACAAAAAATGAAATGATTGAAAAAAAAAATATTTATTTATGCAATTATGAGAAATGGGATAAGAGACAAATCAACAATATTTATTTTTTTTTTTATAAGAAATTAGAAAGAAGGTTCACATCTCCATTTAAGAATGCGATGATATCTGGAGTAAAATGTTCTTTTGTTCAAGTCATAAATAGACACTTTTTATTTCTACTTAACCAAGATTTCTTGCAAATTTCAATAATTGACCTAGTTGGACAGCCTATAAAATAAACAATATATATAAATTTTTAAATGATTGTATTGGTTTTTTTTTTATCAACTACTATTTCACCATTTTCATTTAAAAGCAATAAAAATAATAATAATAATAATAATAATGATAATCACTTGCCACTCATGCCTTTAATATTATAACCAGAATCATCTGTAGTAAGCATAACACTAGCTATATCAATATGTGCATACCTAATACAATTCAATTCATCTGCATCTTTAATTCTAATGCCACCAATTTCACTTTCATCATCATCATCATCATCAACCTCATCATTATCTTTTTTCACAATTAAATCTTTATATAATCCATTAACAAATTCTTTTAGAAAAGCAGCAGCAACACTTGACCCTCCATACCTATCACCACCAACATTAACCAAATCTGCTACACTTGATTTCTCCAGCCCTTTTTTATAAGCATCTTCCAATGGCATTCGCCAAAATCTATTGTTGGTTTTTTTACTAGAACTTGATAATTGTTGCCATAATACATTAGAATTGGTAAATACACCAGAATAAACATTACCTAATGCCACACCCATTTCACCCATTAAGGTAGCCATATCAATTAAAGTATGAGGTTTGAAAGTTGAACTGGTGTAGTATAATGCATCAGCTAGAATAAGACGACCTTCTGCATCAGTATCACCAACCTCGATAGATTTACCATTCATCGCTATTACAACATCACCAGGTTTAGTTGCATAACTCAAAGGCATATTTTTGCATAATGGAATTGTTGCTATGACATTAGTTGGTAATCTTAATTTTGCTATGTCATACAAAGATGCAGAAACGGCTGCACCTCCACCCATATCAGCCTTCATTTCTGACATGTTTGAAGATGGTTTCAATGAAATACCACCAGAATCAAACATGACTCCTTTTCTAACCAATGCTAATAATGACAATGGTGACTTGTCACTGCCACCTTTATAATGCATCTCCAAAAATTTCAAAGGTTCATCAGATCCTTTGGAAACTGACAAAAATGATCCCATTTTTTTTCTTCCACCCAATCCTTATCACGAATGATTATCTCAACATTTGACAATCTGTTAAATTTTTATTGCACATATTCAGTAAAGTTTGTTGGGGTCATATAATTTGCTGGCGCTTCCATTAGTGTACAAGCAAAATTCTGTGCTTCTGCATAAATCAAACCAGTTTCCCATGATAACTCTTTAAAATTATTGATGCCAGTTGTTGTTTCAGATGGTGAAAATGAAGTAGTTAGAGAAGAAGAATAGGATGATGATGATGATGATTTTGATCCAAGTGGTGTAATTGTTATCAGTGATTTTTGATTTTTAACAGATTTTAAAGTATTGTAATTATATAATCCAAGTATTGCTCCTTCAGCAGCACCTACAAATATATTAATTAATATTAAATTATGAATTACTTTATATTATTACACACATCAATTTACCGTGTTCATTATTCATGACATCAACTAAAATATTTTTAGCGTTATTTTCTCTTAGACTGCAAACTCCAACAGCTGACTAAAATAAGCAAATAGTAATAATGTACAGTAAGTAATGATTTAACGAGATATTCTGTTTAAAATCATAATAAATTATCATTTTATCATGATTGATAATTAACATTACCACATTTCTAGCAATTTCCAAAACCTCATATAACTCTTGATCATTACTAGGGTTTTTGAAATCTCTTCTTTTGCCCAATCCAACAATAGCAATTTTTTTAGGAAAACTGTTACCACTGTCAACATCAACAGCAGCATCATCATCAATTTTATCAATTCCATACAACTATTTACATTCACCTAAATTTCCTTTACTACATCCATAATATCCAAGTTTTTTTTTGATTGTTTGTTGAAATTTTTCAGAAAGTTTATTTGATCCAATAGTTTGACTTAACGTACCATCCTTGAATACATCTAGTACAATACCATCAAATTTTGAAAAGTTCAGATTATTGTTGTTACTGCTGCCTCTAGAAACATTAGGATTGTCATTATTGTTGTTTGTGATTTTTGATGTTGTTGAAAAAGCTGTTAATTTAAAAGAAAAATGAAATGATTGATTGATTGATTTTCCTGAATTTCCTAATACCAATCTTGTATTTATTTGGTAATGATGTTGATGATGATAAAAATTGTCTTTTAATTAATGATTGATTTAAGCTTGTGGATAATTGATAGTGCATATTAAATTTTTTATATAGATACAATAGATCTTTTTTTATTTTAAACTGTCTTAAAAAAAGGAAAATACCACCAATCTACTACACCCCCTTATTTACCTATAAACCCCCCAATATTAATAAAAGGGTGGCTCGTATCATTTATTTTTAGCTTCCCTGATAATCGAACAATAATATTAATATGTAATACCTTTAGTCGATCAATCGATCCACTTTACCGTATTCCCACGTAATAATAATATAAATTGAACAAAGCTAGTCCATCTTATTAAAATTAATTTTTAAATATCACACAAGAATTGTGATAATCGTGATCCTAAAAAAATATATTAATCAACCCATTTTGTTTGCTTGGCAATGTCGTGTGTGTATGTATATATATTCCATATGCGCTGGCAGTGTGTTTAAACATTAGTAACCTAGAGCAAAAAACAAGAAAACTTTGTCGTATCAGTATAATTTTTTTAAAAATTTTTTTTTTGGAAAAGGTTCAATCAATGTCAAACGGGGCAGAAACAATCGATAACAATCATCATCAATACAAAAATCCCAAAGATATAAATATACACACTTGTTCTAAAGTTTTTCGTAAGTCAATATGGATTTCGTTAACTTTGATAAATGATATAATACTTTAGGTGTAATGAGATAACAAAACGTTGGTAAAATAAATACGTCCATGATTTATGTACGCTATGATATAGAGTCCGGGGTGAAAGGAATTCGTGCATGAGTAAACAAATAAGAGAGCGTACAAGAAGATAATAAACCTCTGGTATAGTATAATAATTATTTTAAATTATCTGATTGGACAGCTCCAAACGCATGATTTAACGGAAGAAAATAACAAAATAGTGCGACGTCATTTTGATACAATTGATAAATTTTTATGGCTCGCTAGATATGATGTTCTTTTGGTAAGTTTCATGTTTTTTTTTATCAACCAATAAAATAACATATTTTTATTTGTTTGACGGGAAATATGCTCGATCTTTGTTTAAAAAGGCATTCTAATTTGGTATTATAAACATCGCTTACGTATTTCTGTTGTTGAAGGAAAGAAGATGTTAGCAAAATAATCAATTAGTTAGTAAATGGGTTTCATTCTTCAGAGACCTATATGTCCAGCGCCTGATAAACTATCACATGACCAAACAGTTTTGCATTTTTAAATTGATGTTACACTAACATTAATATGGCAATTAAAAAAAATCGGCCCTTATCATAAAAAAAATAATTATTACAAGTATGTTGCAACATTTGAGGCCATTATCTCGTTCGTTGATATTAAATCCTAAAAGCAAATCAACTTTCTTTCAAAATTCAAATATTTTCCTTAGACAACGCCAAGTATCATGGGTTCAAACAAAAACTGAGGAAGTTCAAACTGGTGATTATCCTGACCTACCCACTAAATTATATTTACATAGACCACCATTGGGCTGGGATGATATACAAGAAAGAAGAAATATTGGAGAACCGGTTAATTATTAATTTAAAATATCTGGTTAATGTTTTTTTCTATAATTATTAATTAATTGTTTGTATATTTTTGAAAATATTCAAAAGATTTCAGAAGAATTTGACGCATTAAGCGTTTGGAGTTTTGATGCTTATAAAGGAGATACTTTTAAATGTTTTAGACATTTGTGTTATTTCGGTTTTGCTATTGGAGTGACTACTTTTATAATTTATGTAACTTTACCAGAAGATAAAGCGGTTGGTTAATAAATTATTAATGATCGTGAATCAATTGATCAAAAAATTTCTAATAAATATAATTTTTTAGGTTAAAAAAACATATCCTTATAATGGATTATTAGTTGAATTAGGAGGTAATCCATCCAAACCAGAAGATAAATATTTAGCAGTACGTATTAAATTGATTGCTTGTTAATTTATTCCATTCATCCGTCCATCCATCCATCCATTAATTAAATTCAAAATTTTTTCTAAAGTCACGTAGTGAATAAATTATAAATTATCAAGAATAAATAATTTTTAAACATCATAATAAAAAATCACAACAAAAATTTTCGTTTTTAAAATTCAAAAATTTGACACACAAAATTGTAAAGAAACAAGCTTTCAAATAAATAGAAAGTAGTAAACATTTACATTATTTATATTATTTACTTATGAATTAGTTTTTGACTTTAATTTATTGTTTAAATTCACCATCCACAAAATTTATTTATCTTATTACATGACATCAACTAAAATATTTTTAGCGTTATTTTCTCTTAGACTGCAAACTCCAACAGCTGACTAAAATAAGCAAATAGTAATAATGTACAGTAAGTAATGATTTAACGAGATATTCTGTTTAAAATCATAATAAATTATCATTTTATCATGATTGATAATTAACATTACCACATTTCTAGCAATTTCCAAAACCTCATATAACTCTTGATCATTACTAGGGTTTTTGAAATCTCTTCTTTTGCCCAATCCAACAATAGCAATTTTTTTAGGAAAACTGTTACCACTGTCAACATCAACAGCAGCATCATCATCAATTTTATCAATTCCATACAACTATTTACATTCACCTAAATTTCCTTTACTACATCCATAATATCCAAGTTTTTTTTTGATTGTTTGTTGAAATTTTTCAGAAAGTTTATTTGATCCAATAGTTTGACTTAACGTACCATCCTTGAATACATCTAGTACAATACCATCAAATTTTGAAAAGTTCAGATTATTGTTGTTACTGCTGCCTCTAGAAACATTAGGATTGTCATTATTGTTGTTTGTGATTTTTGATGTTGTTGAAAAAGCTGTTAATTTAAAAGAAAAATGAAATGATTGATTGATTGATTTTCCTGAATTTCCTAATACCAATCTTGTATTTATTTGGTAATGATGTTGATGATGATAAAAATTGTCTTTTAATTAATGATTGATTTAAGCTTGTGGATAATTGATAGTGCATATTAAATTTTTTATATAGATACAATAGATCTTTTTTTATTTTAAACTGTCTTAAGGGTAGAGTGTAGGTAACACGAATTTCACTATGACACTGTTGATAAAAAAAATTACGTAACACTCCGAGTTGTTAGCCTCATACATGAGTATTCCAAAAACTAATTTTTGTGAGATGTTTACTATTGCAAAATCCTTTTTCAGAACCTATCCAATCGTATTGTGATAAAAATTTTGATGTCTTGTTAAAAGGTTCTTTTAAAAAAATCTTGTAAAGTCAAAAGTAGTTTTCCCATCACTTATAAAAATTTTCCCATCGCTTATAAAACATATCAAACCTATAATAAATATAATAAATAGCTGTAACACACACAATAATAATTGTAATAATATTTCTTTAGAATAAATAAAAGACTAATAATTTGTTAAAATCTTGTCC